AGGTTAATGAGCACACCTTGTAGGTCACCACTTATACCCTACTTAGCTCAGCCTGTCTTTGAGGAAGGTCGCTCCTTGCACGGGAGTCCTTTGGGTCGGCCTTAGGTGAAGTGCTACTAGCCGACCTACCGAGGTGGTCTACTCACTTAGCACTGAGGTATCACTTGGATGCCATGTGTAGTGATGTTACTTAGAGGGACAAATTACTCCTCATCAAGTTACACAAACAATCTAGGAAATCAAAAGACTGATATCAATTTATCTTCTTTCTCATAATTTCTGTATTATATCATAAAAATTCAAGTAACCTTAACATTGAATCTGTAACAACATCAATAGTTTCCCAGTAATTTCTAGTAAATATCTAAATCTCACAGAGTGGCCTCTAAATATTTTTCCTCTTCATTTTGATAATAAATTGAATCCAAGAACCAATAGGAACTCCTTTATATTTATAGAAACTTTAGCAAGTCCACAATTTTCTGAACTGTATATAGTTTATGTTAGAGAATAAAACTTATTCAAGGACCTCCCTTAATAGTTTAAACTTTTAGGTTGAATGATTCTATGAGATGGTAGCAGAGTCACTTTAACCAAGTGATCTAGTGTTCAATTCTTGTCACCCCTATTATAATTAATTAAATTTTAGCACAAGATATGGGTGAGCCTGTGCTGTCCACACTGCAAGCCCAACAGGCTTTCATGTAAGGGGGCATGTTAGAGAACACCTTTATAAGAAGAAGAAGAAGAAGAAGAGAGGAGAAAGAGGATGCTAAACAAAGTAGAGGTGCCAAAGTCTCACCGCCGATGAATGATGGCCGGTGTGATGTGCTCGCCGATGTATTGGAATAGGAGGGTTCGGCGGAGGAGAAAAGAGAAAATGAGAGGCATGATCAAAGTTCATACTAAGACTGGGAGGGGTTTCAATTTAGATTTTGTCATTTTGTGTCAGTTCAACCGCACACTCCAATTAACGGCCTCCTGCCAGTTAACATTAGCCCGTTTTTGCACAGACGACGTGGTCGTTTCTCATTGGCGGGTTTACGCGTTCCGTGAATAAACCGATGGATTCACAGAACGCGAACTCATCAAAGCCAGGGTAGTGCCACCCCAAAGATTTTCTGGTGTTCGCCTATTTATTGCGTTCAAATGCATGGGGAGAGATGTCGTCCATCCAACACATAGCCAATATCAGCCAACTAATCCACAATTGCTTACCTGTCAGTGTATTTGACATGTATTTTATTTCTTCTTTGGGAAGGATTTGGAAGCATAAGGAGTTATGCATTTAGAAGGATTATTTTTGTCCTTTTTATAGTTTTTTTTTTCTTTCAGTGTACCAAATCTCAAATGAGTAATTTAGTAATTTTATCTTTACTATCAACCCATTGATGGAGTCGGGGGCCAAGTGTTAAAATCCATAGTTTAGACTCAGTTTGGAAAGAGTACAAATAAATAGAAAACAATATGGAATGCAAGGCTTTTCATTCTAGTTATTAGGGCTGTTCACGGGTCGGGTTGGGTCAGTTTACTGGCGTTTTTCCAACTGATCTGACCTGGTCGGTTTATCTAGAAATGAAACCGAAACCGACCCAGTACTAAGTAAAACCGACCTGGTCGGTTTGAATCAGTTTGGGTCGGTTTGGGTCAGTTTTGTGAATGATTATCTCGGTGTGAGCGATAAAGGATTCAAGTTTAACAAAGCAAAGGTTGGATGCCTGAAAATTAAAAATGATTTGATAGATTAAAACTAACATTTTATATATCAGAAATTTTATATATAATATGTATATTTCTGAAATAAAGTTGAAATATATATATTTTCACAAATATATATCTAAAATATATATTAAAACTGAAATATATCAGATATATATATATATATATCTAAGTTGGTTCGGGTCAGTTCGGTTTCGATTTTCATACATGAAAACTGAAACCGAATCGAACTATCGATTTATGTTTTTTGTAACCCGAAACCGACCGATACTAAAGAAAAACCAACCAACTCGGATTGGAACAGACCTGGTTGGTCAGTTTAGGTCTTGTTATGAACAGCCCTACTACTTATTTCTACTCCTTCCAAATTGAGCCTTCAATTTTACCTTGCCAAACAAAAGTTTTAGGGCTAAGTGTCACTACCCAAGTTTTAGGGCTAAGTGTCACTCCTTCCAAAGCAGCAATGTGTTATTTACCCTTTCTTTTATACCAACGTTGTTTTCTCCTAAACTGCCCCAACCATGGTGAAGGTGGGATTTAAACTAAGTCTCTACTACAACCAAGCAAAGGCTTTATCAACAACATGATATACATTTGATATAGGGCATATCATATTTGTATCTAAAAGGACCAATAAGAGACACAAGTGTAGTAGATAGTGCCTTGGCAACACAAGACTGGTTGAAGCTCTTTCCTAACACTATCTTACACAATTTACCCATGATCCAATTCAATGGTCCAATAAAATTATACATATATATATGTATTGGTATCACCCAATACATGTGTATGTATTGGATATATTGGTCAGTATTTGATTTACAAAAGCCAATTTTTTTCAAATCCAAATTCAAATATCCATTAGTTACACCATTAATTATGTCATTATAGTGTTACTTGTGGTTTCTTAAAATTTCAAATATCAAATAAAGCCCGTTAATTACCATCATTAATGTCATCAATGCCTCAATGGTTTTCAAATAAATAAGTACAAATAACATATACTTTTCCAACTTGAGGGCTACATGTAATCCAAATAAACAATATTATATATGAATGTTCAACTGAAAAAAAATAAAAAGAGTAGTTATTGAAGTCAATATTTTATAATTTTTAATTAAATGAATGATATATCAAAATACTAAAAACATAATAATTATTTTAGAAATTAAAACTATGAATTTGCATATGATATGTATATTATAAATTCTAATGGATCTATAAATTAATAATTAATTTTTTAATTTACAATAAATTTACTATTTATAAAAATAAAAATATTATTTAAAACATATTTAAGATTAAGTTGACTTTTTTGTTAATATACAGAAGTAAAAATAATAAGGAATTGATTTGGTAATGAAGATATGTGATAATTGCATATGATTTGTCTTGGAACTGTATTCTCATAAATATAATATGTATTTAGATTAATTATATATTTATATAATTATTAATTCAACTTATATAAATAATAAAATAAGTAATTTATCTATAAGTACAAATAAGGTCTAAGATTTCTGGAATTTTTTTGGACTACAATACCCCTTTTTTTGAAATAGGGTCCTTATCTATTATGAGAGCAGAAAATGTATTTTGAATACTATTATTCATTGCATTCAATTATCTCTCATTAAATTCCATTCAAGGTATTAACTCTCATTCACCCTCATTTAACCATACATTTAAGGCATTTTTGTTTCTTTTAATTACTAAATATCACTAATTAAATTCATACATAAACAATTCTAATAACATAAAAACTTGTACTTTTGAAATTGACTTTGAAAAGCAGTATTTTTATGTAGTGGTATGAAATTTAAGAGATTGGGGTCAAATAGGTCAACCTATGTTGCATTGTTGCCACAATTAAATAATAAAAATTAAAAACTTGATAAAATGCAAAAATATAGAAATGGAAATGGAATATAAAATCTAAAACCAATTGGAAATAAAATCATTTTCCTATTCTCTCTCATTAAGTCTCATATCTAAGGTATATATTCTCTCATTAAATCTTGTATTCAAGATATATTTTTCTCATCATTAAATTCTATTAATTAAATCCACAAAATTAATTTTAATAGTATAAAAATAAATATTTTAAAAAATAATTTGAAGATAAAACCATTTTCTTCCCTCTTGGTGGTGGGTAAGCAATTCAACCATTTGGGTCAAATGGGTTAACTAATAATGTCATAATCAAATAATAAAAATCAAAATAAATAATATATAGAAATACAAAAAAGGAATTGAGCATATCTCTAATATTATATATTCATTATACTAAATAAAATTAAGTATGGAATGTAAGAAATATTTTTATTAACGATGAAAATGGAATTACAAATCTAAAATAAACCTTGAAATTAAATCAAATGATATCATAGTCAAATAATAAAAATTTTAAAATAAAAAAAATCACAAAATAAAGAAAAAGTTAGAGAACAATTTGGGCACATATTTGATGTTATATATTTATAAATAAAATAAAATATTGGGACCATCTATAATATTATGCTTTCATTATATTGAACAAAAATAAGTATTATACATAATTTTATCAATAATGGAAATGCAATAATAATTGGTTTGGGAGGTGGCCTAGTGGTTTGGGTCAAATGAATTAACTAATGATGTTATATTAAAATAATAATTTTTTAAAAAATAAAAAAGGTACAAAGAATCAAAAATATAAAAATTATAAAAAATTTGGACGCGTATCTAATATTATATATTAATTATATCAAATAAAAATTAAGTATGAAAACAAACATTATTTATATAATGTAGATGAAATATATAATTTAAAATCGATCTGAAAGCAAGACTATTTTCCTATCTAAATGGTGGATCAATGATCAAACTTTTCAAATAAACTCATGGTGATGTCATAATTGAATAATAAATATTTAAAAAAGATAGAACACAAAAAAGAAAAGTATACAATTTTGTCGAAAACATTTGGAGATATTTCTAATGTTATATATTCATCATATTAAATAAAAAAGTGTTAAAATAAAAATTATTTTATTTATGATGAAAATGGAATACAAAATTATTATTTAAAATAATAATAATAATAATAATAATTGTCATTGTAATTTAAAATTTCAACGTGCAATGCAGATATACTCGATCAAGTATTTCAAAAGATTATTCTGAGACCCATGAAATGCTATCAAGTATCGAATGGTAGGTTTATCTAAGAACTGGCAAAACCATTACCATGAAACTTTTTGAATGCGACCCATAGCTGAGGCTACTGAACAATAAATCAATGGATCAATAAACAGACGAACTCTATATTGCAATTTCTAAATATCCATGTCAAGTAGTATTTCTTTTGTTTTCGCAAACATTTACAGAATTACATAATGATTCACATTAGCATAAAAACCACGAGAACTGATCTCATGCAGATTAAGCTATGGAATATGAATTAACACAAAAAATACATTGTTGAAAGCTACAGTACAACTAATCAATTGCCATGGGAGTGATACGCCTTTTTGCAGGCTTATTTGATGCAGATATACTCGTAGAGTTTGGTGAGGCTTGTTTTCCAGCATTTTCTTCTGTATCTGTTTTTCTTCCAACTGTGGCCACAAAATCATGGGCTGTTGTGGTGTTCATGGTATTCTCTAACTTCTGAGCCATGGGTTTCTTGTTTTCTTCTATGTCATTCTTAGCTTCAGGGATAGATTTGGAGACACTGTTGTTCAAAGAATCTGTAGAATTAAATTGTAAGAAAAATGTGAGTTGGATAAAAAGGATAATACATAATATCATTTAATTAACTTTATAACATAGTCTGAACTTTGAGCATAGAAAGTGCAAAAATTTATGCACAAATAGAGAAGGTAATGTTACAATTAAACTATAAAGCAACTATTTCAAAAATGCCAGTTCAAGATCTAGAGTTCTAATTTACAGAGACTATGAAAAAAGAAGACGAGTTCTAATTTCAGGGTTCAGTACGGGAGAACAGGCTGGTATGGCAATAGTCGTATCCTCAAAAGACGACGTGGAAAAGGAAGGTTTCCCACCTTTGGACCGGAACGAGGCAATGCTGATACCTGAACCGCTTGCAGTTGAAGAGAATGAAATTTCCAATTGGGTTCTTTCCAATTTTTGAGATTTGAGGAATTTTTGGGGGTGTAGGAAGCGAAAGCACTTCTAGTTGCAATTGAAAACAGGTTCCTAGTGGAAAAAGGAAATAAGAATAGGAGACAGACAAAGGAATTGCTGAGGCTGGCCTGGGGATTAAACGATAGTGCAGGGAGTGCAAGAAGAAACAACAAAAACTCAAAAAATTAATAAATGGAAAGGATCAGAGTTTTATCTTGGAATGTTAGAGGTCTCTGCTCCGGCAGAAGAAGACTGGTAATCGGTGGTTTCTTAAAAGACAAAAAACCTGATTTTCTATTAAAACAAGAGACTAAACTGCAAAAATTGACTGCTAGAGTGGTGAGAAGAATTTGGGGTTTTGAATGCTTTCATTGGCTTGAAATTCCAGCGGTAAATACTGCTGGAGGTGTAGCCCTATTGTGGAATAATGAGGTCTTTAAGCTCTTAGATAAGAGGATTGGAATGTTTTCTATCTCAGCAAAGTTTTTGTAAGAAGAAAACAACCAACAGATAGTGGTAACTGGAGTGTATGGGCCAGTGGACTCGAGCCTGAAAGATGTTTTTCGGGAAGAATTAAATTGTGTTAGAAGAGATTGGATAGGACCCTGGGTGATTGGGGGGGACTTCAACGCCATTATCAATCCAGAAGACAAGAAAGGATGTACAAGGGTTAATAGAGGCATGAAGGTGTTTAAGGAGTTTATCCAAAGGTAGGATTTAATTAATCTGCCACTGTCCGGAGCAAAATAAACTTGGACCAATAATCAAGAAATTCCCTCTCTTGTAAGGTTAGATAGGTTCTTGATTTCTCCGGAGTGGGAAGACACTTTCCCCAACTCAAAAGCAGGAAGCTCTTCCAAGGGCTGTCTTGGATCATATTCCAATTCTGTTAGAAACAAGTGGTTTAAGGAAAACCCCGTCTCCTTTCAGGCTTGAACATTGTTGGCTGGACTCAGAGGAAATGCGGTCAAATATTCATCAGTGGTGGACTGAAGCCTCCTTTGAAGGCACAGCCAGTCATGTTTCTTCAAAAAACTGCAATGGCTGAAGGCCAAATTAAAACTCTGGCAGAAGGAAAGATAAAAGTTGGATGAGGAAAAAAGGAAAAAAATATTTGGAATTGATTGCAGATCTAGAGGTCCAGGAGGAAGCAGGTCCTCTGGACAAAGCTAATAGGAGGAAAAGGGCAGGGGCAAAAAAAGAATGACTCCTTAACCTACCAAAATGAAATCAAATGGAGGCAAAGGGCAAGGGCATTGTAGCTTAAGTGTTCATGTCAGCCATGAATTGGATCCCAAATTCCATTGATTTATTGAGGAAATCTTCTATATAATTTCTTGCCAACTTGACATAAGTAAATGGCAATGTATATGATGAATACAATTTTACTATAGAACATAAGTAAACAATGAAGATAAACTTTTAGACCTTGTTCTGTAGGAATAACATGACAGCATTCAAAATATAAAATGGCTTAATAATATACTTTTCCTAGACATCCTCAAGTTCATGCCTTTTCATCTTGATCCAAGTACCAAACACATCAGACTGATTTCCCATATTGATGGCATACAGGTAGGGATGGCAAATTTATCCACAAAACCGGGTCCCCAATCCAACCCGCCCCAAACGGGGCAGATTTTCCCCGATCATACATGGGGACGGGTCGGGTTCGGGGATTTTTTTTGCCCCGGACTGGGGACAGGGCGGGGATGGGGTCTGCATATAAATCCCCGACCCCAGTTGTAAATTACAGATATACCTTTATATATATACCCTATAAGGTACTACGTAGGTTATTAGGTTAGGAGTCTAAGAGTCTCGAATACAAAGTTGCTGCCTGTTTCCCTATTCCCTAAGCCCTACTGTTTTGTCTTCTTCAACCTTCGCACATACAGAGATTCAGACTGAGTCTTCATTCAACCTTCTCACTTTCTCTCATTCTCTGTTTCTCAGTCTGGCACTGGCAGTCTTTCTCTCATTCTCTGTTTCTTCCTTTCTTGCTCTCCGTTCGTCCGCCGACCACTGGGTGCCACCACCACTGTAGCAGCAGACTTCCCAGTCTTCCGTCATTCTTTATTGTGTTTCTCAATACTCTCTAACCTGAAGTGCAGGAATATCAGGAGCCGATAGTGTGAGCTCCACATCCGATGTCATTTTCTGGCATTTTTGGGCATTTGGCATCAGAAGCACCAGGATAACCAATCAAACGCATCACCCAAAATGGATCTCCAGCTTTATCACCCTCAAATTCATTTGCTGATCCACCTAATGCTAGGGCTATTCCTCACATTCATTCACAGGGCGGGTACATGTCAGGGATTCCCCATCCCTGATGGGGACGGGGATGGGGATTGAATCTTTACCCCGATACTAGGGACAGGGCGGGGACGGGTGCGGGGATTTTAGCCACGGGGCGGGGATGGAGAGGGGGTTCCCCGCCCCATACCCGCCCCGTTGCCATCCCTACATACAGACTGCACGTAGCACTTTCTATGTTCTGCTCCTATGCTATGGGTAGCCTAGTCAGGAATCGTCTGGTTAAGCTGGATTTTCACAAGGCCCCATAGCTGTCCATGTAGTAGGTTTTACTTTCCTATTTTTGATGTGTAGGCTTTGGGTTCATGTTGTCTTTTGTCTTGTATTTCTTTTCCTAAAGCTTCCGGTTCAAATTGAACTTGAAGACTAAAAGCTGGAATTTTTCAAAAATTAAACAAGGAGAAGTTGATGGGGATGATTTTTTTTATCCAACCTTTTGAAAAGGACTAACAAGGGTCTTGTCAGGTAAACTAGAATTAGTGCAAGTGGATAAAAATCAAAGAGGCTTGTTTTAGGCAGAAAGAATAATCTGGCATCAGGAACTAATTATTAGATTGAATTAGGATAAGGAACTATGCATAATGGAAAGATGGAAAGGACTTGCCTCTCAACAGATTGTTGCGTTTCCCTATTTTATGAAGGCACATTATCAATGAACGAATAAATACTTCAAGACAATGACATGAAAGCTAAGTGCAAGTTATTCAGGCATATTTTCCTTTAATAAAACTCAAGAAAAGTGAAGACAAAGCATTATAGGATTATATTACATGGCTATGATCAGGGATGATGCAGAGTCAAATCAGATAGATGGTATTTGGAGAAATCCAGTTCCCCAAGGGTTGAAGCATTTGCTTGGCTTGTGGCAATGGACAGTATTTTGACTGTGGATCATCTGAAATCCAGAGGAATCAGCAATCAGCATGGCTAACATGTGCTTTCTTTGCAAAGAAAAGGAAGAAACTGTTGTTCACCTTCCCCTCTCATGCAAGGTTGCTGGATTTCTGTGGAAGACTTTCACCTCTCTATTTGGATTCCCAAATTTTCAGCCTGCATCCACTGCAGAAATTTTTTCTTCCTGCCAGCTAAGAGGAAGTAAGAAAGCAAGGTTGTTGTGGAGTTGTATTCTGTTTCAAAATTTGCTGGAGTATTTGGACCGAAAGGAAAAGAAGAATTTTTGAGAACAAATATTGGAACCTAGATAAGATTGTGGCATCTGTCAGCAACTCGGTTGCAGACTGAGCTTTAGTCTCTCCAGAATTTAAACAAGTTTCTAGAGAAGATCTGGGTGATAATCTAGAAAATACTTTGGGGATGCAATTATGTAATTTGGATGATTCTTTGAGTAGTGTTCCCTAGAAGGTTGTTTTGGTCTTTGTATGCGGGTGATGCCTTATTACCTTCTACTTTGTAATCTTTTTTCTTTTCTTTTAATGAAATTTCATTTTTATCTTAAAAAAAAAGGTGCAGAAACTTCTATTATTCTAGTCCTTCCCTTATCAAACTCAAATTCACAGGTGTTAGTCTTCTTAAACAAACCTATATAACATAATGCTAGAGAGCAACAAACAAAACAAGTCTTAAGAAAAATGATTGCATTCATGAACCTATCTAAGCAGGATATATTCTCTTAGAAATCCATATTGCAGGTGGATTGTGGACCAAACATCCAAAGAGCAGCCTGTAGCCTTGTGGACCCATGCACTGGATTAAGACCCAGCTGGAACCATACATAAATAGCTATTAGATTATATTATACAACCAGTTAAAAATCTGAACTTGTGTATAATTCTGTGTTTTTTCCGGTAAGAAATTTAGACTGAATTTTATTTTTTGCATTTCTCATCTCCTAATCTGATTCACAAATACAAATAGAAACCAAAGTTTGTTGCCAGATATGTACAGTTGGACCTTACATTGGTTATGCAAAACAAGAACAAAACGAACCTGGTAGAACTGGAATTCCCAATTCATCGTTTTCAAATTCTATAAGGGTACAATAACCATCTTGAGAGGACAATGCTAGATATTTGGCATTAGAAGACCTTGCAACAGCAGATAAAGATATCCAATCAGAACTAAGAAGGAAAATGTCGTAAAAAGGAAGGTGTGCGTTAGAAGCAAGCAGTGGAAACTTCAATTTGACCTTACCATGCAATATCTGTTATGGCTGCATAGTGAAGGCCAGCCAATATTGCTATTGGAGGAACACTCTCTGTATCATAGATGTATAGAGAGTTTAAAGTGGCCACCGCAAAAATCAATCGATATGGAAGCTTGAAGAACCCAGCTGCTCGAGTAACCAGATTGTTTAATAACAAAGTAAATCATGGAGCAATTACAATGATGGAGGAATGGAGTTCAGACAGCAAAGCTACCTGAGTTGGACCCCCGCAGGCGAAAAACAACAGGGCAAAATCTTACTGCCACAATAGGTTTGCTGGCACCAGGGAGTTGTAGAGCAGGCCTGCACAAGGGAGAGATGTGAAAGCATTTAATTAATAGGATACAAAGAACTTAATCCTGGCTTTACATATTCTCTTCCCTGTTTTCCTTTTTCCAGCTACAAGAAAGGAAACAAGATGAATCTATTGCAATTAAATTCTCAATGGTTAGGAAATAATTTTATTGGTATGCACTGATTGTTTTTATTTTCCAGACACAACCTGTCATGTTTATCAAACCAGAATGCCTCTAAGTTCATAAGGCCTTCACTAAAATCTTCACTTTTTTAAGCAAAAACCAAGGTCAGAGATATATAGTAGGTTGGCATTCAGCACAACATGATTCAATATACCTCTAATTAACATAACAAACATTTATGCTTATAGTGGATTGTTTTCTTTCTCAGGGGTTTGACTGAGCAAGGATCCTTTCAAGAAAACATCAAGGGGCAACACTAGTAAAGGATATGTCACTTGCCTTGAAAGATCCTTCCTTGAAAATATATAGGCAGTATTTACCGAGTCTGATGTAGGTGTGAATTTGTAAGATCCTGAAAGAGGAAATATGTAGACATAATTGTTACCAGCTACATTATATGTCTAGGATTTATATTACAAGAGGAATATAGGCCCATCTAAAACATAGCACACTAAAACTGCAGGAATGCACAGATAGAGGAAATACAGGAGAAATCGTTAAGTTTACGTATGATTGCTCCCTTGAGAAACACATATTTATCTCTAAATAGACATACCTAGCAAAGATATTAATTGGTTTTAATCCATATGAATAAATATTTATAAAATATCAAAGGAACAGTAACCATGCAAGCAGCTCATCCTCCAAAAGGATAGAAGCAAAGCTGTCAATTATTCTACAAATAACAAGAAAAAAAATACTGTGGCTGCTATCCAGGAAATCTGCCTCCAACATAACATGCTCAAACCTACTCTAGCTACTGATCCATCTGAACAAGATGTTCACTCTTAAAGGCAAGGATCTAAAGCCTCCGAAAAATATATCAATCGCATACCATCTAATAGCACAAATATCTCTTCTCTAATCAAGATCCCTGTCTGAACAGGAACAGAGAAAACCAAAGTAGTTCCTCCATCATCTCCTCTGAAAGCTCCATGTATATCCCAAGGAACAGCCACCAAAATTGAGGTTGATTTTTCCACAGGAAGAGAGGGGGAATCAGATTCCTAAAACAATGATTGGGCTACATAAAAGCAGCTTCTCACAACATCACATTAGTAGTTAATGGTTAGCAGGTAATTGTCAGTTTACTTTTTTTTAATTCAAACGATAAACTGATGTGTTTGGTAAAAAGAAATGATAAATAAACTGATGTTTAACAGTCTGGACATAGCCTAATTCCATTGCTTTTCCATATCACTCAATGATCTCTAGATGATGGATTGGCAATGGCAGGGATTTTGAGTGGACACTTTCAAGGAACATGACTACCAAGGTATGAAATTTTTGTATATTTTATATACAGGATCTGAATGAGCCATTATATTGGCCAATATTGGAATCCAGATAACATGTCTTAAAACCAGTCTCAACATGTAAAATCCCATGGTATTTTTACTCACAATGACCAACAGGAGGTTTCTGAGCCTAAGCCATTAAACATCCACCAACATTAGATTCTTAACTCTGAAACAAGTAAAGACTCACAACTTGTCCATCATGAATTATATCATTGCAACCAACAAATACCCATTGTCTAAGAGAATGGTCAAGGAAAATCAACATATTAATACATGAACATAAGAGAAAACTACTGATCAATAAAAACATAAGACAAAACAGAAAATGCTGTAAAACATTATCATGAAGCAGGCAAAGAAGAAAACACAAATCCAACTCAAGGGGCCATCGCTTGGTGCTATGGTAAAATACAGGCTGCAAACATGAGAACACCAATCAGAGTCTGAGAGTGGCCACTACATGCAAGAAATTTCAGAAAGTAAGGTCCATATCCAGTCCACCCCCCTCTAGACACTTGATAGCAAGGACTAAATTGGGCAATGGCCCTTTTTTCTTATATATTTCACCTCAGGAAACTATAGAGCTTATACTTAAAAATTCTGAATATCTATATTTATATACAGTAAAGAACAATAGCTACGTAGTTAAGTCCACACCTGCTGGTACCAGTAGAAAAGATCCATCAGGCGACCAGGCCAATCGTCGGAAGAAAGATGGTAATGTCTCATCATGAAATAGATGGTTTTTGGTCAACTGTATCTCAAGACAAATGTAGATTTTATTATTTCAAAGATCTATTTTTATTGTATGCAATTCAAAGATTATAAAACAATTTTCTAACCTTGGAATCATCTGGAAGTTGCTGTTCTGCTTTGGCAATTACATGCTGACAAACGAAATTCATCTTGTCAAAGGCTTTTGTTTTATTCTGAGGCTTATTCATATAAATCCGACAGGTTCTGTCTGAACTAAGTGAAGCAGCATAGTGGCCCAATGGATCCCAAGCAACACCTTGAACATAATGCAAATGAGCATCCAAAATTTGATGAACAGAACCTGGAATTTAGAAAAATAACACAAAACTGTATAAATATTTAACTTTTACTGAATAAAAGGTTACAGCCACGTATTTTCTACCTTTATTTGTATCCCATATGATGCAGGAATTATCAACAGACCCAGAAATTAGGAATGCACCATCAGTAGACCACTGCAGGTCCAGGACATCCTTGCGGTGAAATCTGACCCAAAAAATTCCAATAAAGCATAAGAACTAGTCCAGGATAAAATTTGAAGCTTAATGAGAATCCAGATGGAACTCTTACGATAAAGTCTTGTACATTTTCCATGTTTGACCAGCTTCAGTGGAGTGTAATTTCCATATCATCAACTCACCTCCTACAATTAGGGAAACCCATTAGCAACAGCTAAAACATATTAACAAAAAATTTCTGCTCAAGTCATGCATTTAATAATAATGGCAACTATTTGAGAGGGATAACACTTAAATTGGGAAAAACACTTGGTGTTCTCTTGCATGAAGGAGGAAAGAATCATACCATCAGACCCAGATGCAAGTTGTTCTCCTGCATAACGTGAAGGATAGAAATGATTCAGTGCCAAAAAATTAGAATACGAAATAGAAATCATCTGAGTATCAAAATAATCTTCAAATCTGCCCTTTCAATTGTTACCAGACAACAAACTAATGAAAGTAAACAGCCTGATCTTAAGCCCAAGATCCAATGTGCATTGCATATTAATTATCAAACCCTGAGGCAAGCATAATAATCCAAATCCCTGTGAGCATTTAAGCATTATGTCCATGCTAAAGCCCAATAACCCTATTGATATTGTTAATTTAGCATAAAACGTTGATAACTGCTGTACTTTGTTTTCTTTGTTTGAGGCTAAGCTGGAATAGCAGCATGATCACTCTACATAGTACAGAAAAAAATTCTGTATACATTACAAAAAACATTTCACAGCCACCAGGGGTTTTCTTCCAATCAATTAAAAGTTAAAATTAAAAAGAAGAATGCTAACATCTTGCCAAATTAAAGCACACATTTTCTGTAAACAGTGCCACTGGATCAGCTAGCTGCACCCAATAGCCTTCAGCCATGTAATTTTCTCTTTCAGAATTTTGTTAGAGTCCATCAAAATACCAAGACAAATAAACAATACAAGTTCTATACATAATGTCAGTGACTCGGTGACAGTGACCAAAGCACGTCCATGCAATCACTGGCATAAGAATGATGAAGAGCAACACCTGACAACTTCATCAGGTGAGAAGAATCATGCAGCAAAAAGTTGTAGGTATAAGATGTGATCTCTGAAAGTAAAATTGGAAAATATTGGATTTGGGCTAGAATGCGCAGTCACCATTGTGGTGCCTTGGGTTGCTTTTTGCATGAACCCAAGAATGAAACAAAATCTAATGAGATGGACAAGCAATGATGGTAAGACATTGGAAGAAGGGTGGACAGTGGACTGGAGATGGAAATTGAACAAAAAAAAGACAGATAAAAAAGGGGAAAAGGATAGATCAGAATTCCTATTCTGTCCATTATGTATTTCTTGTGAGCATGTATAAGGCCTGACTTGTTCTTAGTCCATTATCCATTTATAGTTTGTGTTCAGAATATCCCCTTGATTTTTTATGTATATTCTTGCTTCTATTGAATTTTGGTGATTACTTAGCAAAAAGGAAAAAAAGATGAAAAACATTATGCAATTAATCCAAGGGCAAACAGAAACAAAGGGTAGGAAAATTTTGAATCATTACATGATTTCATGATTTAATAGCAGATGCTTACAAAACTCATTATATATAAGGGCACAGATATGTCTTTTTGTCTTAATAGTGCTTCCACACTAAGAGCATAGTTTTCAAGGTGTCAAGGCAAGGCCAGGCAATAGGAGGTGCCTTGTCACTTAGTTTCCTAGGAAAGTGCCAAGGTGTCACCTAGGTGATGAGAATTTTTTGAATAAAAACCATGTACCCTAGAGTAATTCCCTAAGGTTCCATAACAAGCAACAACCATCTTTCACCATTAATTGCCCATAATCTTCAGAAAAAATGTATAAACTTCATTCAAAACATAGAAGATCAACATATTCATGAAAAAATGGAAGAAAGAAAAGAAATTTCAGAAAATCAATATGTGTTGATTGGACAAAATATCGAGTTCTTCCAATGCCTATTAGTTCAGGTTTTGATTCAACCCTAACAAATAAGAAAAATAATAAAAAGAAAGCAGTATTTTAACTCAAACTGAATAATCTAGTTTAATAATGTCTGTTTTATTTATTATAATCACAGAAAATTAATAATATGAGTATCCAAAAGCACTGTATAAAAAATATCTTGGTAGCAAGTCAACCACCTATCAAAAAAAATAAGCAAGTCAACCCTCTATGAACACCTCACCTAGGTGTAATTCTACATGTTAAGCTACTTTGGTATTACCTGATTGTCATAGTTAGGTGGTATATCCTAGAGGTAGCCTCTATTTTATATAATAGTAGGTTGTTCTTGTATTATTTGGTGTAGCAATAGCAGACATGTCTTCATTGGGTAATTTGGCATTTCATTGATGGAGAGCAGAATGCTTGTGTCTTATTGGATGGTTGCAAGAAATTGTTGCGGCTATGTGAACTTGTGAATACCAAATAACCCAGGCATGCCTCACTGAGTGATTTGGTTTATCCTTTGACCTATAGCATGCCTGGGTTTTTTAGAGGCCACAAGAAAGTTTTATAATTATGTGAACTCATCACTCTACATATTAGGCTACCTTCACATTTCTTGATAGTCCTAGCAAGCTAGTGGATCCTAGAGATCTAGAGGTAATCTCTATTTTAATCACATGAAAGTGAGTAGTTCATGTATCTCTTAGGATAGCATTAACATGCATGCACTCACTGGGTAATTTTGTCTTTCATTTAGTTGATAAAATGGCTATATTTTATTGGAGGATAGCAAAAGAGAGTTGTAACCATATTGACTAATCGAAACCAAATCACCTAGGTATGCACTTACAAGGTGATTTGGTTTTAAATTTGATGATAAGCATGTTCATGACTTGTTAGACAGTCACAAGAAAGTATTATGACCACATGAACTCATCGAAATCAAATCACCTAGACATGCACTCACTGGGTGATTTGGTTTTTCTTTTGATTGATAGCATCTTAATGTTTTATTAGAAAGTCACAAGAAAGTATTGTGACCATGTGGACACATCACAACACATATTAGACTACATCGGCATTTCTTGATTGTCACAGTAAGGTAGTAGACCTTAGAGGTAGTCTCTATTTTTTCATATGTTAGTGGGTTATTTTTTGTACCATTTGGGGTAGGAAAAAGGCATGCACTCATTCAGTGATTTGGTTTTTCATTTTATTGATAACATGCTTGTGTCATTGGAGGGTCGCATGAAAGTGTTGTGGTTGTGTGAACTCGTTGTTCAACATGTTAGGTTGAGTATCTCAAACTTTTTCATGATTTGATAAAATTATCATTTATCAAAAAACATGTTAGGTTAATAGCATGTCGTGTTTTATTGGAGGATCAAAAGAAAGCGTTGTGACCATGCTAACTTATTGCTCCACATGTAAAGCTATCGTTGTTTCTGATTATCAAAGTAAGGAGTGGACCCTAGAGGCATAGTTTTCAAGGCATCGAGGCGAGGCTTGTTGATGGGTTTTGTTTGAATAAAACCCCTTTCACTATTAATTGTCGCCTAGTCACCTAGGTGATGGGTTTTTTGAATAAAAGCCATGAATCCTAGGGTAATTCCTTAGGTTCTATAGCAAGCAGCAATCATCTTTCACTACTAATTGTCTATCTTCATAAAAAAGTAAAAGCTTCATTTGAAACATAGGAAATCAGTATATTCATGAAAAAAAAAATGAAAGAAAGAAAGAAATTCAGAAAATAGAGGGGCCGAGCCTCTATTTTGTCCTAGGAAAAGAAGATAAAAAAAAGAAATGTGAGAAAAGAAGAAGAAGAAGAAGAAGAAGAAGAAGAAGAAGAATTAATGTGTATTTTTTTTAATAATTAATGTGTTGATTGGATAAAATTTCGAGTTCTTCCATGCTTATCAGTTCATGTTTTGAAGTCTTCGTGGATTCAAGACAATATACATATTGATTGAACCATAACTATTGAGAAAAATAATGAAAAGAAACTAATATTTTAACTTAAACTGAATAATTTAGTTTAACAATATCTACTTTATTATTATAGTTTCAAAAAGTTAAGAACATAAAAGTATCCAAATCCAAGAGCACCATGTAAAAAATATCTTGGCAATTAGTGAGGCAACCCTCCATGAGGGCCTTATCGCCTAGGCATCACCTTGACAACCATGACTAAGAGGATGATATCATGAATTTAAATTTTAAAATAAAAAGCACTGTAGACTTCTTTTTGATAAGAAAAGAAAACACACACAGATTTGTCTCTCTATCTTAGACTCTTATTGCCCTAATCCATGTAAACAGTGTAGTGCTCCAAACTAGGAGTATAATACCTTGAACTTGAAATAAGAATGCTTCAGCTAACTATCTAGCTGTTGTAAATCTGTGATGCCTAAAACTAGGGTGCACAATTTAATATGATTTCCTTAAAAAAAGCACACCCTACATGGCTTTACTTTAACTGTGTTAGCTAAGTCCCCATCATGATTCCTCCCCCAAGATTTAGGTTTCATAATTTCTAAACTATCTAAAACTCAATAATTTATCCACTAATGTTTCACTTATAAATAATTTCTTAAATATGCATCCCATAATCCACCAAAAATTTCCCTACTATTAATTACTTAACTTAAATCTCTTTCAATAAAAGATATTTTTTAGCTATCATTTTACAACTTAGTTTCACTATGTATTATTTATTTAAATCTATAAGTACATACTCAAATAAATACATATAGCTCTAGCACAAACAAATAAACAACAGACATCCACACTGTGCCTCCAAAGTTTTATGTTTGACAGTCTGGCGTTTCTTCTCTTGATCTCGCTCAGTGATCAGGTAGCAAGTAGCATTTACTCAATAGGATCCCATAGACATGACAAAAATGCATGTAAGATAATATTCATAAAACTAACCCTCTAGTGCAATTATGGTTAAAGATACAAGAAACCTTCCTTCTGTTTGTTCCTTAATTATTACATTAAACCAATCAGATGGAGACACATTCCAAACTTCCCATGAAAACAAAAAAAGAAGTAAAACTACAGAACTTGAAAATAATTGTTATGATGCATGCTTGATAAAAGATGCACAAAAAGAGAATATGAGGAGCATTAAGTATGTGTACACCAGATGCAGTATGGCATATCAATTTTAAGTTAATAAAATGTTCCTAACAAGAACAACTCTTTTCAAGGGACATAAACACGTCCTTACCAGATGGAGAGAATCGGAGAACATTTACAGCTGAGGTATGGTAAGAAAGGCTATTTTGATAGGAAGCTGTTGGAGCTTTCTTCTGTTCCTGCTCTGAAGTCACTTGCCAAAGCTGAAGGATTATATGTAAAATGCGTTTATAGTTAGTTCAGGAAACTACTTTTAAGTGCTATGGGAAACAAAAATTGGCTGACATTTCCAGTTCAGTAGAAACATAGTGAAGCACCAAAATACCAATTTCAATTTCCGACAAACAATACCGTGAATTTAAAGAAAAAGAAAGAGAAGTGCATCATAGAAAGTCGCATGGATACTATAACCAAGATCCTTGTTCATTTTGTAAAGAACAGATGTCTATTGTCCAGGAAGCACATTGCATAAAAAGCATGGCACCAGTATCCATTCACCGAAACACCAATCAGAGCCCCATTCCGAAAACAAAATGAAAACTTTAGCGGAAATTATTGGAAAGACCTACTTGAAAGTTGCAATGAACAATGCAACTAAGAAATAATCACAGAACAAATTATAATTTGATTGAATCTCTTCTTCCAGAAACCAAGCAGAACCCATTGTGGTGCTGCAGACCACCCATTACCCGAAATAGATCAAACTAAGCTTCACCAAAGAAGGAAAAGAAAATGAACAGAGAATGATTCAGCAAACAATCGATAATACCTTGATATCATAGTCAGCGCCTCCGGTTGCGAGAATTCCGGACTGGGGATGGAAATCTAGGGTTAGAACAGGTTTGGTATCATGCCAATTAATCTGAACGGTCCCTCCCTTCATCTCTGTAGGATTTGCAGATCAAAGAAATTAGGGTTTCCGAGGAAAAAGAAGGACCGGAGGGAGGAGAACAAAGGAGGAGGATTTTGGCGCCCTGATCTTGGCGGGAAAAGAAATGCCCAGATGCCAAATTGTTGATTTGTTAACTGTCAGTATATATGAGTGTAAAAAAATGTAATTATAAATGCCACCTCACTGTGAAGCAAAGCCCCCAAAGGAGGTTCTATTCGAACGATCATGCATAGCGCGTCAATCCAACGCGCGCTAAACGACAAGAATATTTGAGACATCCTCCCTTTAGAGGTATAAATCGGGCCGGGCCATGGCCCGGCATGGCATGAAGGCTCATAGGGTGTGTCAAGCCCAGCACGAAGGTCCGTGTCATGCTAGGCCAGGGGTTTGAGGTCCATGGGCCAGTATACCTCCCCCCAACAGTATAAACAGGCATATTAGGGGGTATTGTGTATTTTGCTTATGGGGGTTGAGAAAATAACATAAATGCCCCCCTATAGCTATATAAAAACTAGTTTATGGGTTTTTGGGTAAAGTTGTAAATAACTTTACAATGACCAAAATACCCCTTCCAACAACTAAAAAATAGTTAGTTTTTAGGGTATTTTGGGCAATTGAATTATTTTCAATTCCTATAAATAGCCTTATCCTCCATTCTTCTCATTACACCAATTCAACAATTATCTTAATCTCTTCAATCTTCCCTCTCTCAGTCTCTCAGTCTCCCTCAATCTCTCATACATGTAATTTGACTATCTGAGTGAACTCTGATAGTCTCATAGTCTAATTGGCTGATTATTTGATTCTCCAAGTTAACAAATTGGGAGGTAGAGGCTTGGAGCCTTGGACATTGTTATGTTGAAAGGTTTTAACCGTTGAAATCAAGTTGGGATTCTGAACCAACAATCTGGGACCAGGGTAAGTCCAATTAAATTAATTTTATTTATTTTTAATTTGAAAAAAAAATGGCAAACTCTACCCAAAACCCCAAGTTTAGTAGTCCAATTTAAAAAAAATATTTAAAATAAAAGATGTAGAGGGAAAGGGAAAAATAGCAGTTTGTCAAAAATGTAAAAAAGACTTTAGCTATTGTAGTTAATATGGTATTGGTCATTTGACCAGACATTTTCTCATACATGAGAAGGAAGAAGAAATAATTCACAATTTAAATGAATTATTGAAATAATGGAAAATAAATTTTAAAAATATTAGAAGAAATCGGAGAACATTTATCACCGCCAATCCCACAATGTCACATAATCCGTGATCTACTAACCCCTCCGATGTCTACAGGCTACAATTCCATTGGAGTTTTGTTTAGTTATTTTAGTGCAAGACCTATAGGTACCATTGTACCAGGGTTGGCTAGATGCAGTCATGAATCATGATGTAGAATATAGATTACAACTTTATAATTACAAGATAAAGGAGGGCATGATACTACTACATACACCGGATATTTCATTTTCAACTAAAGCAAATGATGAAAGCATGTGTGAATGCTTTCATCATAATGTATATATAAATTTTGTTTAAATTGTAAATTTTAACAAATAACCCATAATTTTTTATTTTTTTCAAATTATTGTAAAATTTGTTTTAATTTTATTTAATTTATTTGCTATTAATATAATTTTGTATTTTCAGTTTATAATTATATTGTATTTTTTATATTTTATTAATTTATTCCAATTTCATATTTCATTCATCCGAGTATGAAGTATGAAATATCCAACCATTGTATATTTCATAATTTCAATATTTGTATCATTATTCATTCAAATTTAAATAAAATAAAATTCCTATTTAAATTGTTTTATACTTTTATTTATTTATTTTTTGAATAATCGATAATAATAAATTCGTTATTCGTATATTGATATGAGATATCCATTCAGTCTAGCCCGGTTCAGCCCAAACCCAAGGCCCGCCCTGTGGCCCAACCTGGCACAGCCTGCAGCCTGGCTCGGCCCAAGGCCACAGCACGACACGGCACGGACCTGAGCCGTAGGTCATGCTGTGTCGACCCAAAATTTTCACTGGAGAGGGAGGCATGGCTTGTGACGGCCCGCACTTTGCACGGGTTGGCACGGCTCACTTTACACCTCTACTCCTCTTGCTCTGCACCTTCTTCCCTGTGTCAACTTGATCGGATATATGAGCTCCGGCGTCAGCTTGAACGCGTTGTGATTTGTGATATGAATCGGGATAATCTGCAGCGGCCCTCCCATTCAATGATGCGGTGTGAGTATACTTGTCCGTGTATATTGCCGTTGCCGAAGGGATGAGTGGAGGACCCTCTTCTGTGCTGGGCTAGAGCCTACAAGAAGGAAGAAATTAAACGAGACCATGCCATTTTTTTTTTTCTAAAATTTTAAACAGTAACAAACACACTACTGATTACTAGGCGTTCATTCCCTATTATTTGTAAGCGTATCGAATAATTAGTGCGATATAAAGTAATTAGAGAAGAAAGTTGGATCTGTTGATGCTTAACAAATACAGTTGAACTGGTAGAAATTACGATCAGATTAAATCGATTTGCATGAAGAAATAAGATGTTGTTGGGGTAAAGATAAAAGTTTGATACTCGGGATGGCCTGCGTTTGGTTGCATTGCAAATCTTGACGGGATGAAAAATTTTGTACCCAGTTTAATTGTCTTCATTTGTCTGTAATTATGATTTGCATTTTTACTTGACACAAAATTAACGAGCCTCCAATCTTTTTACTGAGGGGTAGCTCAGTTGGATGATTTGTCCGAGTGAAGATGCAATTTGGAGTCTCGCTATTGTCTTTGAAATAAAAGAATGATGCGTAAACTCGTGAAGTGAGAATATCTCCATTCTTACATTGTGTGCTTTGATGCCCTTGCTTTCAACATGTGTATGGACTATGGAGTCGTTTATTTAAGGGGATCTCGACTCAAAATTTGTACTTTGTCTCTTACAAGCAATTACAAATTTTTTGACAACCCAAAATTTAACACGAAATTTGCACCTCAATTCATTCGATATAAAGCAGTTCATGACAGAATTGAATGGCTAGATGATTTCCTCCAAAATAATTGAATAGTAAAATATTTAAAATAATAATAATCAATCCAGTTTCTAACTTAATTCAGCCAGAGCAGAGCACATAGCCATGAATAACTTATCTATTATAATTTATTTATGATCGATCATTTGGGGCTTTCAATTCAGTATTATTAACATGTTTATATAATTCACATGGATTTTCGTAATAGACCGAAAAAAAAAACTTCCTTTGTAGATATGGAGATGGGTTCTCCATTCAACCATATATCTGTTTAATGATACAACCGTGAGCTTGTTCTAACTTCTAATTTCCAACAGCATTGCTTGCTATAGCATTCCACGCATTTTATTAGTTTACATTACCTCTTCCCAAACAGGAAGTCTTGTACAGTTTGTACTAAACAAGATGCTTTATATGTTTCAACTGCCAAACGCCATAAAACTGCTATACTCCATTAACTCTGAAATCAAAACCAAACCAAGACTAATGGTACACAACTGCTGCTTAGGAAACCAGGTTTTCTAGAGAATGCAAGTCTGAAACCTCGTTTGGCCTGGTTCTATGCGCCCATGCGAATGATGCATCGAAGGCTATCTCCTTGTAGCATGTACTCAAAGGCCTTGTTGATCTCTGCAAATGGGACTTCGTGAGTTATGAACTTCTCCAACTCAAGTTCCTGCAAAGCAAGAAAAAAAGGTTAAATATTAACTAAAAACAAAGTTTTCCAATCACTGTTTGATCTGAAATGAAAATGACTACTCACCTTGTTCATGTATTTTTCGACAACTGAGGGTATGTCAGAACGGGGCTTGTAGTTGCCAAAGAAGGTTCCTTTGAGAGTTCTCTCATTCAAAATGTTCATGGGGTGGGTCTTGAATTGGTCATCTCTGCTCGGAACGCCTACCAGTACTGCAACACCCCAACCCTGCAAGCAAACAACCCCAAAATTCAGTTCCTCTCTCTCACTGTTCTAGTAATATAGATCAGAGGGGATTCACGATTTGGTAAGAATATAAATTACGTCGTGAACACATTCGAATGCAGATATCATGGCATTGATGTTGCCGGTACACTCGATACTTCTGTCTACTCCTCCGTTTGTCATCCCCGCAATCACCTAGTGAATCAAATTCAGAATGAAAAAATTAGTCTATCAAATTGAAACTAAGAACTTCGTTATGTTCAAATGCTTAGGAACTAACCTCTTGAATTGGTTTGTCATAGTCCTTCGGGTTCAAAAACTCCGTCACTCCAAACTTCTTGGCTGTAAGCAACAATCAATCAGTTTTGATAATAACCCTGCAACTACACTATTAGAGAGTACTAATTGTACAAATGGGAACTCAATAGAAGTACCTTCATTGAATCTCCTGGGGTTCAAGTCAACACCTATGATTCTTGAAGCCCCTGCAATTCTTGCCCCTTCGGCAGCCTAATCATGCAAAACAAAGCTTTCAGTAAGAAGAGAGAGCAGAACCCAGAAGAGTTTAGAATGAGAAACTCACAGCAAGACCGACAGCCCCTAATCCAAAAACAGCAACTGTTGAACCCCTTTTGGGTTTTGCAACATTCAAGGCAGCACCAAGACCTTAAAATCCGAACAACCGATCAATATATGAAAGAGGAAACTAGCAACATACAGAGGGAATTGAAAACTGATTTAATTTTTCACCCAACCTGTAGAGATCCCACAACTAAGGAGGCAGACTTTATCAAGGGGAGCAGAAGGGTTGATCTTGGCGAGGCAGCCAACATGGATCACTGTATACTCGCTGAAGGTGGAGGTGCCAACGAAGTGGTATATAGGTTTCCCCTTGATAGAGAACCTCGACTTTCCATCACTGAGCATTACACCTCTCTCAGTGTTGATCCTGAGGAGATCACACATGTTACTCTCCTCTGATTTGCAATGGGCACACTCCTTGCACTCCCCAGTGAATATAGGGAGGACATGGTCTCCTGGTTTGAGATCCGTCACCCCTTCTCCTACGCTCTCCACGATTCTAAATTTTCAGAAAATATACAGTAAGAATGCAGATTCTTGGGTATTTCTTTAACTTCTTTTCACTTAATTTGAAAATATACATACCCTCCTGCCTCGTGGCCAAATATTCGAGGAAAGACGGGTGTTTGTCCCTGAGAAGTCAGAAACCAATCTCAGTCTCAAGCTAAAAGATGAGAAAGATAAGAATAACCGACAAACAAATCTGTTTCTCATTCATTTGTGTTATTCACTACTGTGCCCTTGTGCAGAGAAAATTAAGTTTCCTCCGGAAATAATTACCTTGGCCTCCCAGAAATAAACGTCAGTGTGGCAGAGGGAAGTGAAGAGGATCTTCACTCGGACCTCCTTTGCCTGTGGTGGAGCCACCTCGACTTCTTCGATCACCACTGGCTTCCCTGCTTCCCAAGCCACCGCAGCTACATACCCATACACAACAGAGGACTAGTTAAGTAAAGTTGATCGAGAAGTTATATGCATCCAATTAAAATACCCATCAGACACTTCATGCATTACTAAACTATTTATTTTCTTGCACTAATCTTAGATCAACCGTCAGAAATCAACCAAACACCATACTCCATACAAATAGCCAATTTCACAAAAATATCAGATAGAAGCTAGAGTTGGCAGAAACCATCAAAAGCAAACAGAACGATGGCCAATGAAACCCTGAAATCCTAATTGACACAATCTAATAGAAAATTAAATGGGCTGATCTTCTAAAAGTATTGGGAAATGCGATCGGCACTAGTGGTCGAGCATCGATCACAAACGAAACAACCCATTTATCAAACAAAACCCAACTCATAAACAAAAAAATGATCACTCCAAAGAGGTACTGTAGGAACCCCACTAACAAGAAATCAACAGGTTGGTGTTGTGAAAATTTCTCTCTAAAAATCTAAAATCGAAGAAGAAAAAACAGAGCAAAAACCCACCAAGAAACTGAACCAAAGAACCGAAATATAAGACCAAAACAAACGAAGAAAAAAAAAACCTCCAAATGCCGCAGCAAATAAGAAAAGGAAAACATCAACGGGCAGTACCTTTGCATCGTATGACCTGACCAGATGTGCTCGACATCTCTTTTCTGTTTTCTTCCTTCACGAAATCCTTCTTGTGTTGTACTAAAGAACTTGTAGTGATCACAGAGATGGCCTTGCGCGTGAGGATATTTATAGTACTAACTCAGTGTAAGTGGAGCCCTCCAACGGCGGCTCTCTTTTGCAGCTTCCGCTTTCGCTCCACGCCGACTGTTGAGCTCCGACATTTTCAGATTCTATTGAAGAAATTAGTCCAAACGAGGAAAATACATGTCCATCCCTCGCCACCTTCCCAGTTCCGTCAATAGAAGCTATCGATAGTTCATTGTTTATATCACTGCGTTTCAGTTTGCGAGGAGTAAACACGTGGCTAATCCAAAGGTCACATGCCGAATGGATGGTCTGATCGGCCACGGGCTGTCTAGCAGGCTTTCCTACTAGACCCGACTAGCAAACCCGCTAATCAAGGGACGTGAGTGTAAAAGCTAACGCACGACTTGAAGCTTCCAGTAGCGCCTCCTCATGGAGGAAGGCCACGTGGCAATTTGAATAAAGTTGTAAAATTTTGGTGGTCGTGCAATCTGTGATGGAGGGGCCGTGCATGGTGTGACTAAAAGAAAGCCTTCCACGTGTCTTGGCACCTGTCTCGTACTTGTCTTCGTAACATCCAAAATTGGACGGTTTTCGTTGTTTGTTCGTCAATGTCATATGGGATAAATGGGACTCAGGAGTTAGATAGAGATGACACCGACCGAGAATGTGGGCCCGTCTATCATGTGTACGAAAACTTGGAAACAGATGGAAAGGAGACTAGGAGAGTGGATCAAACTTTGAATAGCTTAATGTGCTTGACCTTACCCCAGACTCCACCTTTACTTGTGGGCTGGGCCCCATGCTCCTCGCTCCCTCTAGAAAATTTGGATGTGGACGAGTCTCCCTCACCCCACTTCCGGTTCCACGTAGCATCTTTTGTTAGTCTTATTAATAGACCTCTCTTGGGCCAAAATGGCTCCACGAATTGCTTGTTGGGGCAAGCTTGAGATAGCCTTGGCCTACCCTAGACTTTGCTTCCATATAAAACTTATAATGGTGCTAACCAAGTGTATGAGAAATGTGAATTCCCTGTCCTCTCTAGTCTCTATTTGTTGTGGTTTCAATCTTAATTATGGTTGCTTACTTATAAGAACTGAGCTTGTACCATTCATCCAACATTGTTAGTTTGGGTATTTACAACTGAATTGCCTTACTTCTTTTTAAATTGGGCATTGGTAATTCGAATGGTTGTTTGTCAGTTTTTTGTTCATATTTCATGTTAATATTATCTTTTATGTTTTGGAGAAAGAATTCGAAAGGGAATTGAATCTTATTTATATATACACGCCAGGGGTACTCTCTCCTTTCGCCAAACGCCAGTAATTTAATTTAATTATTGATGGAGGGGTTGGTAATAGCAACCGCCCCATCAGATTGTAATTATAAATAATTAATAATTATTGTTATTATAAATAATTAATTATATAATTAATGGTTATAATTAATAATTACTGTTATTATAAATATTGTTAATAAATAGATATTTACTTTAATTTTACTTTAAATTAAACTTGTAAATACTGTTATTAATAAATACTGCTAATAAATTTAGTCGTTATTGTTAAAAGTATTTATTAATACTTTTAACAATATTTATAATAATGGTAATTATTAATTTAATGAATATTGTTAATAAATCCTATTCATAAATGTAATAAGTACTGTTATATTAAAATAACTAAATAATATTATTAAAACTATCATTATTGATTATTTAATAAAATATTATAATTACTTACTATTATTGATAAATATTGTTAAAAATTAAATATTTAATAAATAATGTTAACAAAAATCAGCAAAAATAATGTTTGTTTTTCTACTTATTGAATTTATTTGATTTGAATTTTTGGGTTTTGTGATTTGAAGATTGTTACATAATAATAGTTAAAAATGCTATTTGAGTTTAGCTTAATGAATTGCTTCAGGGTTCTAAATATCGACACGGCCCGATATGCCCAGTATCGGTGCTTTTTTTTATGTTTTACTTTTTTTTTCCAAAATCAGTTCAGAGGGGTCGGTTTTAGGCCTAACTACCGTGGCTTACTTGATACAACCCCTGTAAGGGCGTATAGGGAAGCCACCAGCATGATATGTGTCGGATGATACGGGCCAATATGTGCCAATACTTTGAACCTTGGATTGCCTTGGTTTACATTCATAGACTTTGTGCTTTGAAGATTGTTGCATGTTGTAAGTTAAAAATATTGCTATTTCATTTTTTATGTAGCACAATCCGGTCACTCCTATCTGGCACTCGCGTGGCTCCTGGAAGGTACTTGAGAAGCAGAAGAATCCCGGAGGGAGTTACCTAGCGGGAACACTCCGATGATTAAGTTAGTACTCGATAAGAGAAGCAAGGAGAAAATGAAGGCTACGAGTGAAGATAGCGCGCATATAGAAGATCAAGATGATACCTCTCCTCCCTGATACTAAGCTCCTTATAGCAGAAATCCGTTACCTCTGGCCCATTGGCCTCTGACAGGGCGGGTATAACCGTCACTGCCAACCGGTCGCAGCCGTTATTGGCAGGGCTGAGCTGGCACGTGCGGGGCCGTCACTGTTGGGTACGTGCCTGTCAGGTGTAAGACACCTTCTAAATGTGACAGGTACGATGCTGCCTGACAAGGGACATGGCTACTGTCTCCAGGCTTGTCGGGTATGGCAGTCAGGCAGGAGATCCCCTTGATCTCCTTCATGCAGCTTGCCGAGCTGCCACATACCGGGCTGCATCGAGGCAGATCGGTCCCTGTCTCGAAGCATCGAGGTGCTCCCTCCCAAGGGGGGGGGGAGCTTGGGGTTCCTTAGGGGGGAGCCCGGGCTCTTCGAGCTAGACGGGAGACTGACTCACTAAGGTGTTAGTCCTCGGCGAGTTGTCAGTCTTTGACTCGGCGCTTCCTTCCCGTCGAGTCGAGATCGTGCTGTCAGGCTGAACTGTTCACCAAGCCAGGTCATGCACACGTGTTCTCAGGCCACGAAGCTGGGCCAAACCGTCCTCCATCAATTGGCCCCCACTCCCTGTGCTGGGGACGGGGCCCCAGTGCGAGGAGTTCACGGTTCGTTGGGCGGGTTTGACTCAGAACTCACACTGTCACGTTAGACGGCTTAACGGCCGGACCGGTTGGGTACTCAGTTTTTTATGGGAAAAAACCCATGTCGCGTGCAACTCATGCGCGGACGTCACGCACTTTATGCTGCGCGGATGCCAAAAAATGCGCTAAATCAAATTCGCATTGAGAGTCCCGCAGCTGGTTTCTTTGAGGTCCGTTGGATTGATCCAATCTTGATCGTTGGTCGCCAGGCCCCGCGTCTATAAATAGCGGGGTTCTGGCATTTTCTTCGCTGCTAAGTATTTTTCGCCTTGAGCTCGCGTCTAAGGTCTCCAGCTCGGGTCTTTCAGCTCGGTTTCGCCTATTTCCAATGAGTCCCTGAGTCTTTCCTTCTTTCTTTTTTCTTTCTTCTTTTCTCAGCCCGTTCTCCTTTATGTCTAGCGAGAGTAGCTTTTCGGATGAGCCCGAGGTAGGCACCTCGGGTCGTGGTGACCCTTCCCCGACCCGGCCTTCCCGCGAGGCACGGGCAGCCTCGGGTAAGTTGGCTTCCACCTCTCATCGAGGTCGGATGCCGGACCAGTTCGGTTCCTCTACCCTGATGCCAGAGAGGCTTCAAGACCTCGTCCAGCAGTTCAACCTTCCTTCTGAATACTTCTACAGCCTTCCCACCGGCAATTTTCCCTGGGAGCACGATCCGGATGAGGTCGTGATCTTCAGGGAACAGCTCGTCAACAGGCTTCGTCTCCCTCTTCACCCCCTTATCCCCGAGGTGTTGGGGCGTTTCAATATCACGCTGGATCAGCTCCACCCCAACTCCATTCGGAATTTGGTGGGAACCATTTCCCTCTGCCACGAAAAGCAGTTCTCTTTGGACGCAGACATACTCTGCTCCATATTGTTGATTAAAAAGAGCACCTCTAGTCCTCCCCCTGAGCATGGGTAGGTCTACTACTTGTCTCCTCGCCCAGGCTTCAAGCTATTGCACAAGTTTCCGAGTAAGGTCCCGGCTTTGAAGTGGGACTACTTTGTGGTCCGGGCCAGCACAGGGTAGCCCTTCCTCACCAGCTGGAGGGTGGCTACTTAGACGACTAGCATCGCCCTCAACCAGCAGACTTGGGAGACCTTCCATTCGTGGGCTCAGGCTGAGCTCGATCATCAGGAATACATCACCGAAGAGAAGATCGTTCAGGCCGGTTTGAGCTCGGGTAGGTTTATTTCTGTCTTTTGGCGCTTTGCTTTTATCTGCTTATCATTTTTTGGGGTTTACTGACGCCAACTTTGTTGTAGGTCCCATGGACGAGGAAGAGAGAATCACAACTACCAGGCTCTTCAACCAAATGAAGAGGAGGAAGAAGTGGATTGCCAAGAAGACTACCAAAAAGGCTCGTATGGGGTCACCGGAGCTCCCTCCCCCGAACCTGATCATTCCCGGGTTTATGCCCCTGAGACTGAGCTCAACAATGCCCCTCCGGTGATAGATCTAGAGGGTGATGTTCCACCCCAAAGACCTGAGGCTGCTGGGGGGCTGGAGAACGAGCCAGCCGGGGCTGCTGCTGAGGCTCCGAACTCTGCTGGGGCGGCTGCTGAGGCTATAGAGGGGTTGGCTCAGCATACTGCAGACGTGGCGGCGTCTAGCTTAGGGACCGAAGAGGAGGAGTCCATCTGGGATCCCGAGGTCAGCCTCGACCGAAGTAAGAGGGGCGTCATCAATGCAGAAGTTGTGAGTTGGGCCGAATTCTCCCCAGTCAGCTCGGGGGTCGCGCTGCAACCCACCTCATGGTGGTAAGTTCGTTTTCCGTGAGCCAACACTCTATCCCACCCACCCCCTTCTCTCTCCCTCTTTCTCTCTTTTTTTTTTTGTTGACTAGTTTCCTTCTGCTAGGCGAACACTGTCGTGCACGCCTTAACTTTTCAATCTGACAAACACCTGAGGCGCGCTTTGGCTGTTGAGGAGTCATCCCGCGTGGCTGATGCCGAGCTGAAGGCAACACAAGACAAGGTCCATCAGTTGGACAGTGCTGGCGCCTCCCAGAAAGGTCTGAATGACACCTTGGCACTAGAGAGGGAGGAGCTGGCCCAAGAACAAGATAGACTGAAGGCCGTAGTGAACGGGC